ACTCATGATGTCACTAACCACTTCACAGCGCTATCAACTTAATCTCGCTGCTAGACTGCGCATTCTCGTTCTATTCGAACTATCCATGCCGGTTGTCTCATAACGAAATGGAGTGCGCGTTGCCTTGCGTGGAGCCTGTATTTGAATCGGCGCATCCATTCCAGGAACCCAACTTCGAACTATCCCGGGATATAACCCTGTCCGAAGCTTTCCAAATGTTATTTGAAGAAGAAGAAAGCAGCCGGGCTTCATCACCTTCTACGTCCGGCTCTACCGTTGCAGAAACCCTCGCCAAACTCACTATCCTGGACACGTTCATGTTGATTCACTGTAAGTAGATGCTCTCCTGCATGCCACCACTATCTGACGGGAAACAGTGCTTTACGCTTTCATAAACACGCACATGACACTTCTCGCTACTACAGTGCCAAAAACACGCGTCCCGCACTCCCAACAGATACACGGCTCTCGGGCCCATAATTATCGTTCGGCGATACCAGAGGACTCTACACTCGCTTCCATACGCATAGCACTCTCTCGGTGGCATGATCACTGGACCAGGCTGCGCAGTGCAACCTCCAGCCATGACTGGGCCTCCATGGGCTTTTACAAGAACGGCTACCATTTCTGGCTTGTGTCGCAGCTCCTGATCACCAAGAAAGAGAGTGTGGACGTGGTGATGCGCATGGAAGTGAAGTGTGAGGACAAGCTGGAGCAACTCAAAGTTCTGCTGAAGGACGACAACGAATGACGCTTTATGAATGAGTCGCAGTACAACGACTCATTCGATTCTTCTTCTTTTCTTTTTCTCGTTTGTTCTTTCTTGGACAGGCGCTCGCTGTATACACGATGGAATGGATGCATGATTGTACGATACACTAGAGCATTCGGGCGTTACGAATACATATACTTAATTTTAGAGGGACATTCTAAATACCACAGCATAGAGTCGGGGGTGGATTTGCAATTCCAAATCGTTGCACAGGCCTTGTTCCTCTCAGTGACCAACACACACATCCAATTAGCTGGACGAAGCACACTTAACATCCAAGAACTCCTCATCAACCTATACAATATTAGCCCATGCAATCTCAGTACACACACAGTATGAGCAACTCACATTGGTACAAATAAAATCACTGTTCCCCTTAGGACTCTTGACATCGATATTCGTGGCATGAATACCAGAGCAAACCTAAACCGTTAGCATCCCATGTACCCTTCCCAAGAAACAAAACTCACATCAGGACTCGAACAAATAATCGTTCCCACGTTAGGGTCATTCTTTGCAGATGTGACACCCGTGAGATCATTGAAGTAGACATCGCTAATCGTAAGGTTGCTCTGTTCCAAGCCAAGTCAGCCAAACCCGTCCCTTCTATAACATATCCCAAACATCATCTCCCCCCTATGAATACGAAAGAAAGTCATACCGGATACTGGTTACACAACGTCTGGTTCTTCTGTCCATAGCACTGCGTAACCTCAATCGCCCAGTCCACATTCTCGATGTACATGTGGTCGTAGGTGATGTTCTGGACGCTGCCGAGGCCGCCTCCACCCTGGAGATCTTCGGACATTGCGCTGGACACACCGGGCCAGACCTTTATGCGGGCCATGTCCTTTTTCTCTTGTTAGTGGATTGATCTTCTTGAAGAATATTGGGACAGGTATGGGGACGTACAGAGGCATTATACATGGAGATGTTGTAGACGAGGACGTTCTGCACAATATCAACTTCGCCTGGGTATTGGCCTAGTGAGCCCACGGAGATACCGTGGGAACCATTGCAGTGGAGGTTCTGGACGAGGATCTCGGTGCTGTTTGGTTTGAAGGAGACGCAGTCTTTCCAATTCCTTCGGTTAGTGCATTCACAATGATGGCCGAGAGGGGGGGAAAAAAACATACCATCCCCGTTGTTGATGACCGAGTTCTGGATAACGATATTACTCGACCGATACGTATCCCTTATCCATCATTATCAGCACGTCCAGCGCGAGATAACCCAAAAGAAAGGAAAACATACCATCCATCCGTATTCTTCGCCTCATGCTCACTACTACTATACCCCCAAACATCAATGCCATCGAACAGCACATCCGAACTATTCGCAACGAGCTGATACCACTGCGGCGAATACCGCAGCTTCAGCGGGCCGATCGTGCCCCCGTGCAGCCCGATAATGCCGACGAGAATGGGCCGCAGGATGAGCGCATCCTCCGCGTACAGGTCGTACCAGACCTGGCCGTTCCCGTTGAGCTCGCCGCCGCCGTAGACGTTGACGTCTGTGCCGCCGAGGTTGAAGAAGGTGGTTGCGTTCTGGAACGTGTGTTTGAAGGAGTTCGCTTGCCAGTAGTCTGTGTCGGGGGTGAAGGTGATTTTGCCGAGAATTTCTGGGTTCGTCTGGTTAGTTTTCTTGTGCATTGCGATGTTGGTGAAGCGGTGCTATCCTTGTACATACCCAGGTCGACGTGCTTCAGGAAGGTCATGTCCAAGGCGGTGCCAATCGTGTACTCCTTGTCTTCGTCGAAGACGACCTTGCCACCGTTGTTACATTGCTTCAGGGCTGAGAGGATGTATGGTGCATCGTCCGTGCCGTCTCCGTTGCTGTGGACATGGCAAGTCTTGTGCCGCGGTGAACTGGCCGGAAGGGGTCGGAATGGTGGTTTGGGCCCGACTGCGTCGGTCCGGGACAAGGAGAAGCCCTCTACCGGTAGGCTTAAGCCTAGGGAGAGGAGGAGGGTGGTTGCTTGGGTGAGCTTCATGGCTCTTGTTCTTGGTGGGTGTTGAGGAGGTCAATCAATGGCTGGGCTCGGTTTCGTGACGGCGCTGTCTACTATGTAGGCGCTACAGGATTGAGGTGTTTACCACGGGCTTAAAGTGCAGATGGAGGTAGAGACGGGGCTATAGGCAATTATATAGGTTTTATTTCTGGTAAACAGGCTGACATACTCTAGCTCGCACTTGTCAACGAGGCCACTAGGATAAAACCATTCATTTACTTCCCGCCAATCCTCGCGCCAACGGGTGAAAATAAAGTGGAGAGCATTGAAGCTCTGCAGGATTCATCATAAGACAAGCTGTATCGGAGAAATGAAGGCCCAAATCACCGGATGTTGTATAGGGTTGGGATTTGCCGCTTCTGATAGGAGGGATAATATGGCCGGGATTAATCCGATTGGGAGGAGAAATTGGTCGATCGTTCCTCCGTCTTCAAGCCCCGGATTCATGGCTGGGCGTGTTTATGGGGGAAATACTCAGTGACTCGACTAGGGTTGGTTGAACGTGTTGCTGTTCATGTGGAGTTTTCCGGGGTTGCTTTCGATGTTGGGGTTGGCATGACATAACCTCACGTCTATGAGTGGATACTATTCATTTATTCAGACTCTGGACCTTTCACTTTCGGTGTGCTGTTCAATGTAGTATGTATCTTAGGAAACGAAAAAAGGGTTAAGATCGTCCAACTCCAGGAACAAGTGCATTGCTGTATATATTAGGGCTAAATCCTTCGTCTTCCGTAGAGCGAAGGACTGATTATTTCCACGTGACCGTTCGGCATTCGATTACATATCCCAGTATCTTGTGGGCCGGCATAAGGGAAGATAATTTTTAGATAAATTCGGTTTATCTAACGTCTTCGGCGGGAAACCAGTGCAGCCCTGATTTAATATATACAAACAAGAACGCCAGCCATGTTGCGTTGAACCAGTAGAGCCCCCGAAGTACTGTCTATCGAGTGCTAGATGCCCAGATCCACCCAAAAGCTCGTCAATCGACGGTCTATCTCCCTGATGCACAGTTTCCTTTTTAGACCCTCGTCGGGCCCCCTTGCGTGGTAGAGTCCCATCTGGCAGAACCAGTTGAACCGATTTATGCGGACTTCTTCTCAACAGCAGCCTCGGCCTTCACGGCGGCCTCCTTCGCTGAGTCAACCACTTCGTGTTCCATCGCCTTGATGGCTTCGACGGGAGATTCATCCAGGCTACGGTGGTAGTTGTAGATACGGCCGACCTGAACGATACCGACACATCCGAGGAAAAAGTTGACAGCAGCAAGCCTGGGCGAATCAGTATTGTATATCTCAGGGGCTGCGCTCTCTGAGATCAACGTACAGGTAGTTCTTAGGTTTGATAATCAGACACCAGCGGGTCCAGATGGCTCCGGTAGCCGTCAGGGCACCGTTCTGAGTCAAAGACAGCTTCTCGGCGGGACGGCTAAGATCGGAGATACCGGCAATGACCAGAGCCCACTAAGCAAAGTCAGCTATATCCATGGATCGGTGAAGTTCGCGAATTGCGGCCGCCGACGCGGTTATCGTGTTCCTTATTGTGGTGCGTAACGGCGTCCGGCAAGGGAGGGTGTAAATTATACCTTCATGACAGGGGCCCTAGAGCAGCAAGCATTAGAATGGTAAATCAACCCAAAGAGTTTATACAGCTGCCCAGAAAATAAACAACATACCAGAAATGCACCGTCTTGACACCGACGGGGCTGTTCCATATACGCTGGAAAGTGCTCTGTTGCTCAGCGGCGGCATCCGAGCTCTGGAAGCGGCGTCCGGCGCCAAAGCGACGCTGCGCATTGCGAAAAGCAGCGCGAGAGTTCTGGAAGAAACGAAGACCGACGCGGGAGGACATCGTGAAAGTGAGGAGCGAAGAAGATGGGGAAGGGAGAGACAAATGCCGGAAGGCGGAGAAGTGGAGATGGGCTCTCAACCGGGGTGTAGACTAGCAATGTCAGGTCGCACCAGAGGATCAATTTCAACTCTGGGGAATAGAAATAGAGGAGTGGAGATTGACAGAAGAAGAAGAAGTAAGTGAATCAACAGAAGGACAGGATATCAGAGATGAAGCCGACGTCGGCGGTCGCCGTCGGGAATGCTTTCAATCGTTGGGGTTGCGGCTCTTTTCCGGCTGAGGTAAGCGGTGACAATCACGCTTGACCGGATTGGTCCAAGGCCTCAGACCTCAATTCATCACCGTTTCAATCGCTCGATCACCCCTCCGTTGGCTCCAATTGATACCCCAGCTCTGTTTTGATCCGTTTGATCGGGGAAGCAGCTTCTTACTCTCATTGCCTATCGCCGTCTATCCTCCTAATCCGGTCTTCCGTCATTACCCTTTCACAATGTCCGGCAAATACGTTTTCACCAAGGGTCTGAAGGAGCTGCGCTTCCTTTTCTGTCAGACTTCAGAGCACAGCGCTCCCACAAGGTGTGTTCGGAGATACAATTTCTGGTCAAGCATGGCGTGGGATTCACAAATAACACCCAACAGGACCTTCCTGCAGCGCGCATACCCCACCATGAAGAAGCACAACCCTCACGTCCCCATTCTGATCCGCGAGGCCAGCGGTACTCTGCCTAAGGTGTACGCCAGATACGGTATGCTGCAATCGTAACTACAATGGCAAGCGACGTGGAAAAGACTAATACAGGAGTGATGTACAGCATTTGGCAAGGAGACACTCGAGCCATTGAATGGTAAGGGGTTATTTGTTCTAATTGACTTGGTTACAATTACTAATATCAAACCTGTACAGGCTTGTCGGATGCACAGATCGAAGAAAAACTTACCAAGCTCGTGAAGGAGTCGTCATAGCGAATTTTCCGCACTTCCGTATATGTCCATGCATCGTGTTCAAATCGTCAACCATTGTATCTATAGATGAATTGGAAAATTCAATTTACTTCGAAACACTCAAGGGACGCCTGGAATCTCTTCTATTTATACCATCTAATTCACAGAGAACTACTACTGTTGGCTACCTGACCGAATCTAAACTGCGCCCAGCTCATACTGCCCTCACCCAGCGTCCACAGCCTCTTACCGACATCGTCTCCCGCAGCTCCGGCGCCAACGTGAATGGGAAGCAGATGGTCAAAGGTTGGATGTGCCTGCCGAGCATCGGGTCTCTTCAACAGATCCGCCAGAGCCTGCTCTCTCTCCGCCGGGGGAGCCGTGGCCGCTTTCTTCAACGCCTCGTCGAAGCTGGTGGTGTACGGCAGCGGCCGCGAATCGTTCATGGAGAAAAACAGATCGCGCAGGTTGTGGACCGCCATTCCAGAGACGATGATGAGGATGTTTTCATCGCGGAGGCTAGACACGGCCTCTCCGAGCCGGTAATGCGCGACAGGATCCTCGTTCTTGAACAACGAAACCTGCACAATGGGCACGTTCAACGGGTTCGACTCAGGCTCGAATGCTATATGCGATTAGTTTCTCGTGCGCCACATCAAGCACCATTTCTCGCAAAGAGGATGAACCTACCACACTTGAAACTCGCCCACACACCATGATCCAATCCTCTTTTCACACCTTCCGCCTTGATCCCCGCTTTCCCAAGCAGATCAAGCACCTTATTCGCAACCTCCTTACTCCCCACATTGGGGTACTTCTCCTTGTAATAATGGCTGGGGAAGCCGTAGAAACTAGCCGAAAGTCAGCACACATCACCCTATCCTCACCCAAAAATCACAAGACGATGAAAGAGAAAGACATACTCATAAATCAAATCCGTATTCTCAGCCGTATTAACCTGAATCGTATCCCTGCCAGCCTGCCAATGTGCCGAGAAAACCACCACAGCCTTGGGCTTCACCTTGGTCGTAATCTCCTTGCCGATCTGCCCCAGCTTCTTATACGCCGGGTGATCCGTCTGGTACATGACATTCGGCTTTGGTATAGATAGTCAGCATCTCTCTCTCTCTCTCTCTCTCTCTCTCTTCAAATAAAATTCCACAGAAAAGATCAAACTTACACCCCCATGACTCAAAAAATAAATCGGCGTCCGACCCATCTTCTCACTACCAGCTGTTTTCTTAGAGACCTCCCTACTAACAGCGGGAGAAGCACTCGTGAAAAACCGTTTAAGACCGAACAGATTGGCGGCTCGGGAGTCCCGGTACTCCTCTGTGTTATTGTTGGTATTGTAGCCTATGAATAAGGCCAGCGATACTGCGATGAGGACGGTGAGGATGGCGAGCGCTGTGAGCGGGGAAGGTTTTCTGGGTGATTGTTGTTGTGCTGGGGTTGTGGTGGGTTCGGAAGACATATATAATGTTTTTCTTTTAGCTTCGGAGTGGTACTAGACGTTACTAGGTATATAGATGTTGGTTTTGTTGGTAGTTCTGGGTGGGATTTATTGGATTCCAGGTTATTTTATACAGTTTACATGTTATATGGTGTAGCCAATAGTGATGCTGGGCTGGAATTGCAAATTGATTGTAAGCAGTTGTCAGCCGGCGCGGAAGTGCGGAATCCGTCCGCTCTGGGGTTGATTATGTTTTTGTATTAGTGTCTTCAGGTACTCTGTACATATTAATGGTATGGATAAGTTGTTGTCCTGAGAGATGCTCTTTAATGTATATTAGTAACTAGTGTATTTGTATTAGTCTTATTTCTGGGAATCTCGCTCTATGTTCTGGAAGCACATCAATAATAATAATAGGGTATACATCATATGGTATTCATCAAGTCTTCCATATCCAACATCTCAACCATGTGCATAGTGTTAATTCCAACCCGGTCGAAAGAAGATCAAGTCAATGCAAATGGGATATAAAAGAAAAGAAATTGTTCATGCATGAGACATTAAAATCTATAACCTCCCGTTCCGACCTCACATGAGAATGCAGTCGCCTTCGTTTTGCTTCTGCTGGTTGGCACCAGACCGAGAAAGCCGGGCTTTCTGCATCTGGGCGCCTCCCTTCTTGATTTCTTCCAGACGTTCGCGGGCTTTCGGGAATCCTTGGGCTGTGTAGCAGAATAACGTCGATTAGTAATTGTATCAAAGCGATGTGGACTGTAAAGCACTCACCAGCTGCCCGCCAATACCATCGCTTGGCATCCTCCATATTGGCGGTGACCCCGATTCCAACTTCGGTATAGTAACCCATTGCATATTCTGCCTTTGCAAGACTGGAAGTCGCAGCCTTGCGTGCCCAGAGGTAGGCTTCCGTGTCGCTCTGCTGCAGAATCCCCTCCGCGCCAGTCAAATACCATCCGCTCAGGGCAAGCTCACTTTGGTGCTCGCCCTGCGCGGCCGCATGAGTATACCAAAAGATACTCTGCCGGGGGTCCACGGGGCACCCCATCAACCCATACTCGTAAGCAGTGGCTAGTTGGAACTGGGAGAACTTATACCCCAGTTCGGCAGCTTGGTGGAATAGCTGACTAGCATACGCCTCATCACGAATGACTATGTCATTCGGGCCCGCATTAGCATACATGAGCGCAAGTTCATGCAGTGCGTGCGGGTTCTCAGCATCAGCACGTTCTGCGGCACGCTTCAGCCATGAGACACCCTCGCGAGGGTTCTTGGCTTGTCCAAGAAGCCCCTTGAGCATAATCATTCCCATCTTATACATCGCTGGTGGATCTCCCAAAGATGCAGCACGCTTATACCAATGTACTGCCTTGAATGGGTCCCGCTTGGTACCACCGCCTTCTTCCGCACCAATTTCGCAACACACAGCCGTGCGGTAGGCCGACTGACCATGCCCTTGCTTGGCAGCAGTTTGGTACAAGTGGAAAGCTTCCTTGTGATCAACCTGAAGGCCCAGTAGTCCTTGGCCGTAGCAGTCCGCCAAGAAAAACTGTGCGTCAGCATATCCGCTAGACACAAGCTTTTTAACGATTTTGTACGCATCCATCGAATACTTCTCCCTCGCTTTCGCCTTGGACTTGGGATCTAGTCGACTGCTCTCAACCAGCACCACCGAGGCCTCGGCCAGCTTCTGGGCGAGTAACAGTTGGGTCTTCTTGTCAGAAGGATTGCTCTTGACAACCCGCTGCAACTGTTGAAGTTCTTCTTGCGTCACTGGTCCGGCGGGTGAATCAACCGGGGGGCCTTGCTGCGCAGCAACAGGAGGCGGTGCAGAGTCAGCCGCGCTGTTGTACTGGCGTACAGGTGCTGGTCCGCTACCCTGATCGTGGCCGGGTCGGAAAGGTGCCGGATGATGAGGTAGCGCATCGGGGTTTTGCTCGGCGTCTGCCGGGTCCATCTGATTCACTACTGGTGGCGGCGCTTCATTCGCGTATGCGGGCTGATTGGCCCGGTACGGCTGAGGACCATTGCTGCGAATGGAGCCACCGCGGCTTGCGTACCCTGTCTGTTCTTCGGAGTATGCATTCATTTGTGACCCCCAACTACCATGGTGTTGCTGGTGTGGAGTCTGCATGGGATCTTCGTAGCCGAACCCGTAATCCATCCCCTCCTGGTGCTGCGCAGCGGGTGCCGATGCAGGGAGGTCAAAGTGGAATCCTGCATTCTCAAATTGATTTGGCACAGCCCCTGATCTTATCTCCGGCTGAGATTGGACATGATGAACATCGGTAGGCTGCGGGTGGAACGCCGCGTACTGGCCCTGAGGAGCGGGGGGAGCAGGTGTTTTTGATTTCGGTTTTTCTAATCCGAGTAAACTTTCGTCGATTGGACCACCGTGGCCGCCATCAGGCATAGCGTCGAAATTGGGCATGTCGGGTTCATCCGCATGGGCTGTGCTATAATAGCTATCCAGTAATGCGTCGACGTGCAGAGACTTGTGTGCATTGGCTTTCGCGGCAAATGTCGGGTCTTGGTATGTAGCCTGTCCGGGATACATTGGCTTAGCAACGGGCGGGGCCGCCGGTGTCATTGGCGGTGCAGCTGTAACAGGCACGGTTGCGCTTCTATTGATTTGCGGTATCGGCGGGGGTCCATTAGGGTCAGTATAAGACCGCTCGCTCCGCTCACTCCAATCAGACCGTCCAGCTGGCGGACGCCCTTGGCTCGTAGATCTTACGGGGCCAGCAGGATAATCTCCCCTACCCCGTCCAGCGGAGCCAGGGGGCGGCTGTCGAGGCATCTCCTGCCGTCGTGCGTGCGACGTATGCGGACGGTCTGGCACAGTTACAGGCGACATTGGGCCATTGAGATCCATCCTCGCCATTCCCGTTTCAATTCCCGTTGACGTTGAGCCGGACCGGCTGCGTGGTTCTTGGGAAGGAAATATCGGGAACGGATTGTCCCATGCTGCGTTGGAGGGAGGCGGCATAGGATGAGGGGCTGGATTATCATCAGTACTTGATTTACGAATCCGTTCGATGCGAGGTTTCACTCACGAGGCCTTGAGCGATCTTGCCTTGATGGCGCTCGCCTGTCGCCATAGCCACGAGGCGCATCGTATCGATTTGGCGGCGGTCGACCTCTTGGCGCATATCCGCGATCAGGTCGTGAGTCCACGGGAGGGCCATAACCTCCCCGCGGTGGGCGTGGAGCACCTCGTGGAGGTCCGTATGATCTCGGGACTGCTTGGTCACCCGGATAACCGTATCCAACATCGTCGTAGCCTCCATTCCCAGGCGGGTAACCGTAATCGTATCCTTGGTCAAAATGCCCGTCTTGTGGTGGGCCTGGGGGCCGAGAGGGGCGAGGGCCGTAGTTTCTCATGGGCGGAGGCCTCTGCGCTGGATGCTGAGGGTAAGCCATGACAAAGCTCAAAGCTTCGGTTACAGAGACGGCTGTCGTTCACGGAAGAGAAGCGGAATGGTTTTCTCTTTGTCCAGCTGGGCATCAACTAATTCGGTGCGATCCTGTGTCACGCCTCTGGTTTTAATCCACTACGTATCTATCCGGGGGTCAGCTGGTCCATTTGTGTGAAAGGTCCAGTCAGGACCACTTGAAGGATGCGCGCAACGGTCGAAGCTTACTGGAACGCGACAGTAAAAGAATGAATACCACCAGCCCCTCGAGTCGAACAAGCGCAGCAGAAGTATGCGATCATAAACCAATCAAGGAAGTACGCGTGCCTGCAACGGGAAAGACATTGTCAGCGGGCAATCTTGGGTGTGGAGGGCTTGAAAAGCCGAGTGCGCGATTGGAGCGTCAATGCGCCGGGACAACCAACTTGTTCGAAGGTAAATGAGAACCACAGGAGAGGGCGCTCAGGGATGTTTCTCCAAAGGAATGAAGGAGACACCGCAACGGAAGGAATCGAACTAGAAAGCAAAAACGACCGAACGACAGACAAGTCCCTGTGGCTGGTGGAAAAAGAGCGTGTGACCACGGAGGGGGGAATGAGGGCGAGTTAGTTTTATCTGAGAGGAGAGATCAAATGGTTTAAAATGGTTTAAAATGGGCTCTCCGGATGGAGCCGTGGAGGTTGTTTAGTAACAACAACGGTTGGTAGGGTAAGGAAGTAATTACTCGTACTAGTCAGTAATTTTTAATGTCCGGCCCTGAACCGCGCAGGTACCCACGAATAATATTGGTGAGTTTGAATGACACAAGGAATCGAGGATGATGGGATTATCCTTCCTCAAACGAGTCTTCTTCTTTTTTCACTGTTCTGCCTAATTTTCTGATGACTTGTTTCCCCGTAACAAACGGTGGTTCTTTTCCTTGTCCCCACATCCTGTCCCGCCATTATTCTCTGGCGGTTGATATCATTGTCCCACTTGATACAGAATGGAATTATCACTTGAGGGCCTGACATCCCCTAAGCACAGTTAGTGGATGTTTGAGGATTCTTTCCCATGGATAGTGGGGAAGTGGGCCCGACGAAGGAATATATTCATGGCCACAAAATGTAGGTACCCGAAAAGAATCGAAGGGGAAAAAAGGGGAACATCGGATAGTCAAAAATGGATAGATTTCAATTTAGGCCAAAGAATATCGACCTCTTTGGTGGGATTTTCCACGACAGTCACTTTATTGTGTTTTCTTTGATTTTTATTTTCTTTTTGTTTCTTCTCGCTACAGGTGGAATGCATTCGTTCTATGAAAAGTGGAGACCGCGGTAACAGCACTTCTTAGTATCGAGTAGTCTCGTGTCTTAAGGCTGCTAAGGCACCATGTCATCCCAATCAGAGAGGCACATTTCCCCTTCAAGATTCATTTCACTTCTTGGCGAGTCCAATAATTCCCCTCTCTGCATGGATGCCCTCGACGCAAACCATGGGCCGGCGGTTAACTGACGTCCAGATAACCTTGTCCTAATTATAGATTCGTTCTTCCTGACAATGGAAGTCGATATACGATAGGTACCGAGTACAACTCTGCACTCCGTATACATCGCTGAAACAACTTGCGACAAACAATGTGATGCAAGGAAGGCGCCAATTGAGGATATTAAGACTCGTCGTCCAATCTATTTACCTATATCTATCTGCGTCTAATAATATATTGGAAATCAACCATCGAGGAATAGGGGTTAGTCGCATGGAATGTTGTCCACTCCCCTGCCTCTTAGGGTAATTCACAGGAGGTACGAGTACGATGTGGTGTACGGAGGACTCCGTAGCATATGGAAATGAAGGATGACGGAGTCTCCCATTTCGGAACGCAGGGCATTGTGTCCGGCTTGATAATATCAATGATTCGTCGATGATAAGCGTCTTCTCTCGCCATCGCCTGCTGTATGACGTTGAATTGGTTGTCTTGCTGCTTACTCCTCCATTCGACCCCTTGGCTTGATTCCAACCATTTGAATCGGATAGGCCCCTTGCTTCCGAAATTCTTCTCTGATCCAACGGTTATACACGCGGCACTCTGCAGCGAACAGGATCGGCCATGAAATCCTACCGAGCAGCCGAAGATACCTTCCGAACAAGACAGTATCTGCGAGTGAGATAATAGAAATGCCCCAAAACAGTATCGACTCCAGCAACTAGCAAGGGTAGTGGTCAATAGTAGAGACGGTCGACCTAGTGTCAGAACGGGTGGAGCACACCTAGTTAAAGTAGCATGAACTTCTTTTTGTCACGCTCTCTCTCTCTCTTTTTATTTTAATTATTTATTTGTTTTTTTTTTTTATTTTTTTCTTTTCCTTTTCTAACCACGAAGTTTCTTGTTCCACCACAGTTTGCATCGTTTGCCCCAATCAACCCGCCCTACTGCGCCACTTCGCCTCACACCAACCCCAGCCACATGCCGACCGCCGACCACCGATGATGCTATTCCGTTCCACCCAATTATGCGCCGCCTATTATTTCTGAGTAGCACCTGCGCGTGGATCTCCCTCCCACACACCAAAGAGAGCCCGGCCACTCATTCCTCAGGGACCAAGTGATACACATCGACAAAACCCGACACCATTGTCTCGGCAATTATATCCGCGCAGTGACATCCCTCGGAAACACGCCGTCACCATGTCCAAAGCGGGAACGTGGATCAAGATGTTCGTCGTGTAAGTTTCCCTCCAATTCGGCGAATACAGCAATCCGACAAAAGCTGACGGGGAATTATTATTCTAGCGGCACGGTGATCTGTGTCGGCGGCCCGGCACTCGTCCAAGCGATCCGTCCTACCGATGAAGAATTGTTCAAACGGTATAACCCGGAGCTCCAAAAGCGGAGTCTGGAGGAAGGGGATCGTCGCGCGCAGGAATTCGATGATTATGTGAATCGCCTGAAGCAGTGGTCTAAGTCGGATAAGTCGAGTATGTTTCCCATCTTGGGGTGAAGGGAATGAATGGGATCCGGAAGATGATCGGGGGCTAATGGGTCTGAATAGTCTGGGTTGCGGCTCAGGAACAACAGGAGCAGATGCGGACGCAGGCTGCGGTGCAGCGCACCCAGGCGAAGGATGAGGCGAAGGCTCAGCGTGAGGAGATGCGCAAGGAGTTGCTGGGTGAGAAATAATCTCGTGGGATTATGCGCGCGCGAGGCGAGCTGTAGCGTGGTTGATTGAAAGGTATATCGGGTGTTGGTTTTATCCCATATACCCCCTTGTCTGTATTTATACCCGTGGTCGCTGGGCCGAGGGAGTTAAAAGCTTGGTGCATGAATCATGGGCGAGTCTTTTTGCCGGGAGTTATCGGTTGGGCGCTTTACTTGTTTGCATATATGAAAGATGAACGGATGAGATGATTGTATAGTATTGTCTACAGGTATATTCTCCGTTCTCAATCTATCCGACGGCTACATTCTATCTTAGGTAGCGGGTATTTGCATGACAGGTTCGAAGTAGAAAGACGCTTGCATTGGTATTTTGCCTTGAAATATACACACGAAGATCATAGAATGATCATTATTGCTTATGACCCACAGAGTATTGCAAATGAGTGCCGTATAGCAGGCAGAATCAATGTAAAATTACATAGAGCCAAGTTTCAGATGATTGACAAAAGTGAATAGAGAATGCGCAAAACAAGCATAGACATCAAGATATTGTATTGTCCGATCCAGTGCCAGATCTAGATCCAACAGCTGTCGCCAAGATCGTGATATAGTAGTAGCCAAGGGGTAACCATGTTCTGTCAAAGACGTCGACATCAAGACTTTCGCCCACTGTATTGGTTAATTTCAGTCATTGATCTGATCGTCAGATGTGTAGAGAAAGCTGGCCTTCAACAATTCGAGACATCATCCTCTCGGAAGTCTAGATCTTGAATTTCCAACTCGACCCCAGCGGCCTCACATACCAACCTCAAAAAAGCCGTACCCAGTAGTGATCTCACCATTGGGCCCAGCTTAAGCACAAGTAGTCGAAGCCGAGGTACCAAATCAACTCGATATCTCACCAGCTCCGCAAGGTAAGACGCGATAAGCGTAAAACAGCCCACCACAACGACACCTGTGATTTCTAGCACCTCTAGTGAGCAAGGAAGCTGACCTGTGAATGATCCTGAATTGTTAAACTTGAGTCCCACGAGGCTAGCGTGCGGAATAGAAAGCTGTTGGAGTACGCTAAAATCCTTCAAGGATCCGAGTAGGCCATACAGATCGCATTGCACCATTGATGGAGTTTGATAATCAGATCCTTTTGAAGCCGTCCACATGAAGCCCAGGCGAAGAGACTTCAGGGTATCTTTAGCTTGAAGAAGCGCCTGGCGGAAGGCTTCTATATCCAAGTGCCCATCATGCAAATTAGGAGGATAATAAAGTACAACATGGAAATGCTCGAGTTTAGGGCACAGTTTAGCCCATTTAGCCATGCCTGTGGGATCAGAAGCCCACATCATAACACCAGCTCGAGTAACTTGGCACATAGGGTTGCCTATCGTAAGTTGAGCCAAAGACCTTTGGATTTGGTCTAAAGGCCGCTCTTGAATATTGTATGCGAGCACTTCGCGAACAGCTGGGAAATACAAAAACGGCAATACAAAGTCCGTAGTTACCGGTTTCCACGCAGCAAGGGAGCTAATCTGAACTCTTTGTAGACAGGGAAATGGAGGAGTGTTGTGAAAAGGTCGCTGGCGCATAGCTGCCTTTTCCAGGATGTCTTGCAGTAGTTCATCATGATCATATGCCAGCAAAAGTGTTTCCAAGCGACTCAGGCGAGTTAACAGCAGGCCCACCCAAGCCACACCACAGAAGCTGTTAAGATACTTCTTCCATCTGGTCTTCTCTGTCTTTGTTTCAAATGTTTCGTTCAGAATTCTGTGGATCAAAGTGGAGTCTATCCCACGACCGATTTCTGATTGGTGAAGCCTATTCCAATGTTCGCAGTCGTGTGCAAGTGTTATATGGCGTACACGACTTGCCAAATATGGTTCTCTGCAGAGGTTTTGAACTATCAACGGGATGCTTCTCGTTGGGCCGAATGTAATCGATGTATAGAGTAGAGGTTGGAAAATTTGACGGAATCTCCGAGAGCACTCGCTTAAAGCACGCTTCGTCGGCAAGTCATGTATATAATCTCCCGTTAGTAGGAGCAGCTCGGTAGGCAGAAGATCCATTTTGTTTTATATTTCGTGTAAGTCAAATTCTGTCTTGGTCGTCTTCTGGGAGAGGAACATGTTCGGTAGGATAGATTAGGCGGTAATAGTACCAGTTATAACATAAGCAGGTAGGAGTGAGTCAAGCTGTTCTAATGTCGTAGGAATGATGCCAACATTAGACTCCTGACTATTGTCCTGTCATCATGGCTTCATTGCCGACTTGCTGTCAACCTTCTCCCGTTTGACCACCAGCGATGTGTCTCATGATAATAGTCATGTCAACCAATGCCACACAAAGGCAGTAGTGTCACTGCCAGCTCCAGTTTAGGAGGTGGTGTTTGGTGTTGGAGTCCAATGAGCAGGTGCTTCATTGGCTCGATCAAGATCGCTCCTTACGTTTCTAACACTCATCATATTGTTTCTGTCCATGCTCATGTATGATCAAGTTATTTTGCTTTATTAACAAATATATGCTAGAGTTCTTGCCGCTCACGATAACTCCACTTAATACACATAACGAAAGTCCTTGTTCTGTTTGTCGGTCAACCCACCCCATGCCTTCTCGTCCGTGACAACACCCTGGCCTTCTTGGGTTGTCTGAATGCGATCCCTCCGCCTGTTCTCCCAGACATAGTACCCAAAGAGCACGACGGCTAGTATTCCAGCCACGGCCTGAGTCACCAGGACTGCAATCTTAGCTGGTCGGTATTCGGGGGCATCCCTTGCCTGGAAAGTTTGCGGCCCAATGATATTGCCCACGCAGAAAAAGCCGGCCACCACAGCACTAGTAAATGCACGCTTTGTGTACCCTGCGCAATTGGCGGCGATCCAGTGGTAGATTACCGGTGTCGGAGCAACGATTGCATTGACTAGGTAGATTCCAATCAAGATTCCGGCCCGATTGCTCTTGGGAAGGAAAGACATCAGACCGCCGCCGATGATTCCTGGGATACTGCAGATAAAGATCCATGCCCATCGATTCGCAGCTTTACGGACGCCAATCCCCACTAGAAGTGTAAAGAAAATACTAACAATTCCTGAAGGTGTGTTTAGAAGGGCTGAGATAGGTCCGCCAAAGCCAAAGCCCGCTATAAGCGTGGACGAATACACCACGACCACTCCGCTGGAAACAGCTTGCTAGATACTAGTTAGCTTTTCTCCTTCCTTTTTCTCTATGGGCTAGGAGTTTTCCTTCAAGACTATACTTAGAAGAGGCGAACAGGTGGGGATAAACCTACCAAGGCGAGCATCAAAGCCCACAACCACACCTGAGGATCAAGAACCGCTTCCAGCAATTGCTTGGGATCAAACTTTCCATTGCGAATACCGGTCTGGTTCACGCGAACGTGTTGAAGTAGCGTCACCTTTTGGTCATCGGATAACCACTTCGCTTGCATTGGTGTATCTGGAAGGAAAAGTAAGGTGGCAACTCCTACAGCAACGGTGATCAGTCCCATGACAAGGAACATTATACGCCAGCCGGCGAATGCATGATGGACGTGTTGGAAGCCAAAGGAAATCAATCCGCCAATGATCTGGGCTACTCCTAGGCCTAAAAACCAAAATGTAAATCTTGGGGCCTGTTCGGACTTCGTGTAGTATTGACTGCTTATGAGCATCAAGGATGGCGCTACCGGGGCTTCAAAAATCCCAAGGAATATGCGCGCGACAAGTAGAGTCGTATAGTTCTTCGCACCGGCCGCTGCCGCTGCCGCAACACCCCAGAGAATGACGTTGATACTCAACCATTTGGCTGGGGGGACCTTCTGGAGAAGATATGCTGACGTTCTGGTGAGTTTTCCTGCTTGTAGGAGGATTATAAGAACTTACTATTTGGAACTTCAGCAATCAAGGATGCAATGAAAAAGGCACTTGCCCCGTTGCTAAAGTTGTTTCCCTTCAGGTCCAGGTCTGTTTTCATGCCCATGACTCCCGCATACTTTGGAGTCGGGATTAGCGAGGTTGGTATGAGGGGTCCAAGATACTGACATTATACATCACTTTATCGATGAATTGTAGGAAATAGCAACAAAACATAAATGGCAAAATGCGCCGATCCACTTTATGACGGATGGCGACCAGATCGGCGTCAGTGTGTTGGACATCGCCATGTTTATCCAAGAAATTCCAGGCATCGTCCAGTGCTTGGGAAGATGTAGCTTGTCCCTGTATTGCGTCCGCAACCGGTTGGTTGCGGTTTGTCTCCGTCATCTTTTCTCTCGTTCTCTCTGGAGAATGATATTAAACCGGGTGAGAATACATGCTAGCGATGAAGAACAATTGAAGAAGGGACAGAATGCGACAACGTGGCCGAGTCCAAATAAACTCAAGAATGTAAAACGGAACGAGCAAAAGAGGGGTCCAAAATATACAACGAAAGAGGCAGAGATTGACCTTCAGTTGATTGTGATCACTTGAAAGCAGATGCTAAGAATGTAACCTCTTCCAGAACCCAAAGTTTAAAGGGTCGCATTTCCCTTTTATGCAGGTTATACATCCTATGTCAACCATCTGTGATCCTGGTTTGAGGTTACAATAAAGACTATTCGATTGCCTTCACCTCGTCTAGAATCCCACTTGTCATGGATGTTCCATGTACAAGTCAGTATCTTGCAACCACCGTGGCTCGCATGTTAGGCCCCCCAGACTGGGGTTCCCAACGCCTTAGATCCGTGGATATTGGACTCTCGGCCTCAAGGCCATCACAATTAATTCCCTTGGCAAATTTTCTTCGTGCCTTGAATGGCTAGAATCCTCAGCCCGAAAGCAGATCGTCCGTCCCCTAGCCAAAGTCTTTCTGCAACTGTAAGGGAAACCAAATACGAGGTCTGTCGATCGCCGCACGTACTATCTCTTTTTTGATTCTGTGGCAATAGTGGTTATTGAATTACCACATGTGATATCACAAATGCCAGGTTTAAGTCACCATCCATTTGGTTGTACTAATAAACATGATTTCGCATCGGCGGCTCAACGACTGATCTACATGTTTCTGAAGCCGATCTCTGTCACCTCAACTAATAACACTTCGAAACTGCTTGTTCATTATATGTTCAAGAGATAATCATGACCTACTCATATTGCGATAATAAGTAGCCTGTACAGATTAACTAGGAATCTTGTGATTGAAAACCTCGACTTGTTTAACAGATATAGCTGAGTCTTACCGTCGATTAGGGCTTTGCATCAAGGTGTTGCGGTAGGTCGCCCTCAATCTTTGTCTTTATTCTTTTCTTTTTTCTGTTTAAAGAGGAAGGAAAGAGAATAAAATGAATAAACGAAAATAAAAAAGAGAAAACATGTAAAAAACATCCATATAAAACATAACAATGTCCCAAAGGACACTGTAGCACTATAAACTAGAATGAACTATAGCATCGCGGAGTCCTAGTATAAAGCCCTGTAGATTGGCTAGGTACTATCCTTACATCATGAACACATTAATTAAAGAAGTATATACACTGTGGATCGTTTCAGAATCAATCAATGTCAGAAATATCTAGATAGATACCTAGAATTTACAAGAAAGCTGATTGTCCCTAGCTAAGACACGTGATGATCACGTATTCAATCTACACGCTTTACTGTAGCTGCCTTCATCTTCCTAAGCAACTCCACTTTGTCTCATTTGGGGTAATCCTGCTTTGTAAACCATGTTGAGCAATACAGATAAATACTCTCCACACGATAGGCTATCGATGTCGTGATCGCAACCTCAGTTTCACTCATCCGCAAACACATTTGTCATCACAAGATACCTGACATGTATATAGGTCACGATAATAATGCTTTCACCCCCGCTGGCAATAGCAGGAACTTCCTTTTCCTACAGTATCATCCAGCCCATAACCAGAAACCCCAGTGTAAGAGACCATGCCTGAGAAAACACTACATTTGACCGCATTCATGCGACCTGTCAGCCTACACACCGGCGCATGGCGATACCCCGGCGCCTATCCAGACGCCAATTTCAATCTCGCCCATCTCAAATCCTTCATCAAGAAGCTAGAAGATGCCAAATTCGACGCCTTCTTCATGGCCGATCACCTCGCTGTGCTGAACATGCCCGTCGAGGCGCTGAAACGCAGCCACACCGTGACATCCTTCGAGCCGTTCACTCTACTCTCGGCGCTATCAGTTGTCACAGAGAAGATTGGACTCGCGGCCACAGCATCCACGACATACGATGAGCCCTACCATATCGCGCGACGCTTCGCCTCGCTGGATCATCTCAGCGGCGGTCGAGCGGCTTGGAACATCGTCACCACCGGTAATCCGGAGTCTGCGAAGAACTTCGGACTAGATGCACACGTGGAACACGCGGATCGCTACAAGCGGGCCCGAGAGTTCTACGACGTCGTTACCGGGTTGTGGGATAGTTTTGCTGATGATGCCTTCATCCGCGATCAAGAGACCGGCGTCTACTTTGATCCGGAGAAGTTGCATGTTCTCGACCACAAGGGCGATGATCTGAAAGTGAGAGGACCCCTGAACATCGCGCGGCCAGTTCAAGGCTGGCCGGTAATCGTTCAAGCGGGACAGTCCGAGCCAGGGAAACAGTTGGCGGCTGAAACGGCCGAAGCGGTCTTCTGCTCGCCGAGGGACTTGGAGTCGGCAAAGGCGTTGTATGCGGACGTCAAGGGCCGTGCAGTGGCAGCTGGTCGGGATCGTAACCATATCAAGATCCTGCCGGCCGCCTTTGTCGTCGTTGGTGACAGCGTGGAAGAGGCCAGGGCCAAGCGCCTCAAACTTGACAGTCTCGTCCACTACGACAGCGCCATTGCCTCCTTGTCCATTGCTCTGGGGACGGATGCGTCCGGCTTTGATCCAGATGGTCCACTACCGACAGATATCCCGGAAACGAATGCGAGCAAGACAGGCCGTGCTGGAGTCTTGAAGCTTGCCGAGGATGAGAAGTTGACCGTCCGACAGCTTGCACAGCGATATGGTGGCTACTCGGGGCTTGCCTTTGTTGGTACACCTGAATCGATCGCAGAGGAAATGGGTACCTGGCTAGACGAGGAGGGAGCTGATGGTTTCACTGTCGTATTCCCATTCCTGCCGCAGGGGCTGGATGACGTTGTTGAACGACTGGTACCTGAGTTACAGCGTCGTGGCCTTTTCCGTCAGGATTATGAAGGGACAACTTTAAGAGAGCACCTTGGTCTTCCCCGTCCAAATAATCGCTTCTTTTCGTGAGGGGTCATGTAAATAGAGTCAGGGATACGACATCTGCATGATGCAGCAGTTAGATAATGGGTACGTGGCTTTTATGCTTTACCTGGCACCTTCTACAGCATTAGAGATCTTCATTGGAATTCCACAGCGAGTGTACATGGTACTACCATGCTTATGACACATTATAATCAGCTATAGCCTACTCTGACTGTCCATTCACCTAAAACGCTACAGACTTACCAATAAGAGCAGTATTACTGCGTAGAGACATAAAAGATATAAGTAAAAAACATTATAATATTGACAATGGAAACATACATACCAACATCATGTTTGGTGTTTGCAGCTCATAAGGCAAGATCACAACAGTGAATGATATCACCGGTGAACACTGAGGTGCAGAACAAAGACCATAGGCGTGAATTTCTTAGAATGCTCTTCATTTATTCACTGTCTCTGGCGTGTTCCACTGCTTTGGGGTCCTCTTGCTTGCCATCTCCTGCTCGCGTACCTTCCTTCTATCCACCACCACAAGTTCGCGATCTCTACCTCACAGCATGGGGTCAAAGAAATCTCACAAAAGGTCTGGGTAAGTCACAGAGCCCTAAAGTACTGAGAACACAGATATTTATAATCTCTCTTCGTTCTAAGCAGTCTCCCCTCTAAACTGACCCTCTTATTCTATCTATATCTCCCTGTCCTTACATTTATCATTACTAGACATGTCCTCCACTATGTTGCTCTTACAGCTTATTACTATTATCATGGCTTTCTTCTTTGGTCTGACTCTTCGCAGGCTCTATAACACCGACATGGAAAAAAGGGCAAACGAAGCTTCCAAGAAGCGCCCCATTCCTTCCCCTGATGCCGAATTTCTTGACTCCAACAAGGCCAAGTGCGAGCGGAACGAGGAAAACGACAGCGAGATCTGCACCATGGATGACTTCTCCACCGACTTGATGTTGAGAGCTCGATACGTGGCCGCTAAGCAAGCTTCTTTTGACGAGCCCTTCGAGCTGTCCGAAAGCGATTCCACTTTGTCCCATGCGATCAGAGCTCGCGTTGATGCGGTAAGGACTCACCTCCCATATGTAAATCGGTATCCTTCTCTGAACGACCTTACAGAACCTCCCAACCGCTGAAAGAGGAACTGTTACGGGGGCTCCCCTCTCTAATGACGATGTCGCAGACATACTTAAGAAGGTTAAGCCGGACTGTCGCAAAGCCCAGGCATGGGTAAAGGCGCATGAAGTCAGCAAGGCGGCCATGGAGCGACTTAAGGCGAAGTCGGAGAACCGCGACGCCCTCAGAAAGAAGTCACTACGTCAGTTGCACGGCAGAGGTCATCAGGCTGAGGCCCAGTCCGATGCACCCAGATACCAAGCAAGGGCCCCGGCTCCGAACTTGCAGGCTCCCGAGGATCGTACCGTTGAAGAAGAACTGGAGGAGGCAAGGGTGGTGTACAACAGGGTTAGCCTGGCGCACGATAGACTCCTGAAGACCATCGTCGACATGGAGGAGTTTAGAAAGACTCTCTCGTAGATCTCCCCTCCGTTTAGTCTCCACAGCCGGCTGTGGTAGGCTGGCATGGCTTTCTTTCACCCGGCTAGACCGAAAGTTCCCTAACTTAGTTTGACATTCGCAGCGCGACATGTAACAGACCGGCAGGCATACATCATTGTCTTCTTGCTTGTCTTTCTCCCATGTAATCAAGACACGATGAATGAACGCTACCGTTGTTAATTGCTCAAAGTGAAACCTTTTCACATGAGACCGTACCATAGAGTCTAGCTTCACCAATCACAGAATTCTCTTCTCCAATCTTTATGTTTTCTTGTTCCTACTGGCTCCTCTTACTTTGTCCGGATTCTCTAGTTTATCTACTAACGGTCGGTACGGTGACGCAAGAACATGCTCCGGCGCCCGCTGCGCAGGTTCCTCTCGTCTAGGCTCCCCGGGAGACGGACGTTGTCGTTGATCCTCGTGCATCCGGTCCAGCGGCTCGCCCACGATCTGATACTTGTTCCAGTTGATCGGTGGCATGCGTACCACGTTCTGTGGGGTAGGTATGGTCCCCAGGCCTGATGCGTCTCCTTCCTTCGAATCACCCATCTCATCATCCTCGTCCTCCTCATCATGCGTGAAATTCACGAAACCTCCCGGGTCTTTCGCGGACAGATTTCCCGCCGCCAGTTCGCGCGCAAACCCCTCGGGATCGGCCGCCGCCGCTTGCTTCAGTCGGTCCAGTGTCCGTATATCGCGCAGACTCTGCTGCTTCTGAAGCTGTAGTATCGAGATGGTGGACCGCAACGCGATCGCATCGGGGTTCTCGCTTTCCGAGATCGGCACGGCAGCAGGCTCCGGCGCAAAGACGGCCGGTGTCGTAGGAAGCGAGGCCGCTGCACCGCCAGTGCGACTCGTTGGCGACGGCGACGAGGCCGGGGGAACAATGGGATGTGATGGCGCACCGTTGGGCGTGGAGGCGTTTAGGACTGGGGCCAGATGAGCGAAGACCGGAGTTACGGGGGAATAAGGCGGGCGCGGTGGAGTCCCTGGCCGATCATTCGGATTGCTTTCATTGTCCTGAGTGGGCTGCATGGTGCCTGAGTTGTCGATGTGGATGTCGGACGCTAAGATTAGGGTTATTCTGTGTGATTTCTAGAATAAAAACGATGAACGCGTGGCCGGGTTGTGGTTGTGGCGGTGGTGGATGATTGATTGATTGATGTTGTTTATGCTCATCGGCTGATGACGTCTTAAAAGGCGCCCTCCAGTTATTGAATCCTCTTAGTCAAAACTTAACCCTCAACTTTCCAGGTACACATTTCGATGCGATGCTTCTTCTATTGTAGGGCAACAGTTATTTTTAGTAATTTTTATAGTCATTACGAACCTACAAGTATATTCTATTAAATTCTATCCATGTAAAAAAGACCAGTTAGTAATTGTTGAGACTCACATTATCAACATTATTGAACCTACCAAAAATCAGATCTTCTCACCAGAAAAATAACCAAAGAAGAGAATTCTCTGTAGTAGTATTTTTTTTATTCATATTAATTAAGAAATAACAAAATTATATCAAGTAATTAATTTGACTCTTGAAAATGGCCTGATTTGTGGCCTGATCGCTGCCTTTGAACCACTCACCGCCCAAAAAATAGAGGAGAAAAAAAAAGACTCTCCCAAACCTAATCAGGCCGATATTCTCTCCGTCTTCCCCTCTTTCCAATCCCCTCACATCACACAATATGAAGCGCAAGACTGAAGGAAGAGAATCGCTGGGCGGCAGTGACCAGCCAGATTCCAAGAGACGGGCATTGACGAGCGAAGAAGCCGCTGCGCGCTTCCGCGATGGTCTGTTTGAACCCTCGGAGCAGCAGAAGTATACCGAGCAATACGCCGAGTCCGCACCGTATGTCGACACCTGAGTTCTCGCAACCACACATCGAAAATAAAGAAAAAAACCACATGTGTAGAATGCTGATCATCAATCAAGGTACAAGCATGGAGTCATCCATCCCTTAATCGAGCCTTCCTTGCTGCGCGCGGTCCGCAACGAAATCCAAGAACACTTGGACTTCACCGAGAAAGAGACCGATATCTACAAGATCTTCCAGTCCGGAGATTTGGCGAACCTGGATGGCCTGGACGATGCATCCCTGTCGCGACTCCCCTCCCTGCTGAAGCTTCGTGACGCCATGTACTCCGCCCGCTTCCGTGAGTACCTGTCGTCCGTGACTGGCTCGGGCAAGCTGAGTGGTCGCAAGACCGATATGGCTATCAACATCTACAACGAGGGATGCCATCTTCTGTGCCATGACGATGTCATTGGAAGCAGACGTGTCAGCTACATCTTGTATTTGACTGATCCCGACACCCCCTGGCAGGCGGAATGGGGTGGTGCACTGCGCCTGTACCCCACGACCACGAAGAAGGATGCAGAGGGTGAGGACGTCAAGATCCCCAGTCCCGACTTCAGTCTCAGCATCCCGCCTGCCTTCAACCAGCTGAGCTTCTTCACCGTTCAGCCTGGTGAGAGTTTCCATGACGTCGAGGAGGTTTACCACTACAAGGAGGGTGAGGACAGGTCGAAGAAGCGGGTGCGTATGGCCATCAGTGGATGGTTCCATATTCCCCAGAAGGGAGAAGACGGCTACGAGGAGGGCCTAGAGGAAAAGCTTGCCGAGCGGAGCAGTCTCGCTCAGCTTCAGGGACGCGGTGACATCTACGACCTCCCTCAACCTAAGACGGTCGTGTGCGAGAATGAGTCGCAAGAGGTTGAGGGTAAAGGCAAAGGCAAAGTGGAGGAGCAACCCAGCAGCGAATTTACCGAGGCCGATCTCAACTTCTTGATCCAATACATCGCACCATCCTATCTCACCCCAGATATCGCGGAGGAGATGTCGGAGACATTCACCAACGAGTCCTCGCTCAACTTGGAACAGTTCTTGTCAGAGAAGTTCTCTGCCCGCGTGCGAGAATATATCGAGGAGCAGGAGAAAAAGACACTTCCTCAATCATCAGATGAGATCCAGGCACAGACCGGATGGACTGTCGCCCGCCCCCCTCACAAGCAGCGCTACATGTTCTTGCAGCATTCAACCGCTGCACAGGACGAGAAGAGTCCCCTTCAGGAGCTGCTCAACGACGTCTTTCCTTCCCCTGCATTCCGCAAATGGCTCGCCGCCATTACCGGTGCGGAACGTCTCACAAGCTACGACTTTATGGCACGCCGCTTCCGCCGCGGACAAGACTACACTCTAGCCAGCGGCTACGATGGTGAAGAGCCTCGGTTGGAGTTCACGCTGTCCCTGACCCCTACACCAGGATGGGAGAAGGAGGGTGATGAGGAAGAGGATGACGAAGAGGAGGAGGATGATGATGAAGAGGGCGAGAACGATGAGTCCGAGAAGAAGCCAAAGGCCGAGCCTAAGGAGAAGGAGCCTAAGAGTGACGCTGAGGAGCCCGCCGTGGGTGGCTACGAGCTCTACATGGCTGGGGACGACGAGGAGGAGGGCGACGCAGCCATCTACCGTTCTGCCGCCGCGGATGAAGATGACGGTATCCTATTCAGCACTTCTGCCGGCTGGAACCGACTGAGCATTGTCCTGCGCGACAGCGGCACCCTCAAGTTTGTCAAGTACGTCAGCGCTGCCGCCAAGGGAGATCGGTGGGATATCACCGGTGAGATGGGTGTGGAGTTTAATGACGACGACGAAGACGAGGACGACGAGATGGAAGCTGACGAGGAATAAAATGTTATCTTTTGGCTAATCTCATTTGTCCGTTTGTATATACAATGACTTTTGCTATCTTCACGAATCAAGCATTGGGCACCACCCAAATGACAAAAATAGACTGAATGTTTCACTCCTGCAGCGGCCAAATGATTGCTGCCTACTATGGATTCACTGTCCTAGTCAGTACATGACGATCTCCGGTGGCGAAATCTGTATCCCAACTATAGAACCGAGCAGGCGCTTAAGTGGCTTAGCCAACGGGCTACCTCAATGCACACAGCCACGACGATAGGCCATATGCATCTCCAACTTAGTTCACAAGCAGGCGGCAACATATTCTCCTTCATGTCGTACATTTCTCATGAATTACACATTCAGGCTGTTTTACAATAACCCCATCCAGCATCTAGATCATTACAAGCCCGACCAGTAAGTTACACAACAAAGTCTGGACTGTGAAACACCCCCACTTAACACTAGTTTAGCTGTGTACCGATGGATGTAAGCATGCATTGACTTCAGCTTAAGGTGGAAACTAAGTTTGTGGTGGACTTCTGTTGATCCTTTCATTTGCAAATTTACGAATCACTGGACCGCATGCATGGAAGTATATTCACAGGGGCGCATTATGGTTTCATCTGCGACATTATTGTCAACAAATATAGTCCAACATCGGGTAGTTTTGTAGAACTTACAAGCTTCCACAGCTTGTCCACCTTAGTATACCATAAAAGTGAAGTCCCTTCAACAACCAGCGGTTGTGTAGTGTAATGGTTAGCACCCAGGATTCTGATTCCTGTAATCCCGGTTCGATCCCGGGCACGACCTGGCTTTCTTTTTTTGCCTTTTGAATGATCACCCCAGCAGTGATTGATGAGATTCTTTTTTCCTGGTCAGTATGCATACAGTGTGGTGTCTATCTAACATGAGTCGGTTGTCTTCTCCTAGGGTGGCATGTCACACCGGGCTATCAATGACTGCTCGGTGGAGTCGTCCAGGGTAGTCTGTATCTCAGCTTGATAGCTCTATATTTAACATGGTTCTTGGCTGTCACACCGTCTCTTCGACTATTAGGCTGTGCGTTTACCATCGAATTCAGTTCCTTGTGTATTCTCTCCTTGGTTTGATGTATAGACAATTGACATAGCCGGGCCTTTACCAACATATCACAATGGAAGTAAATCCGCTTACGGGTACGGGTAACATTGAGATACTAAAGATTATCCACACTCCGCGTCGAGGGTAGGTCTCCTGGTATGGTCGTACTCAGGGCTATGTTGTGGTAGGTCTTCTTTAGATGTGTCTACCTTTCTAGTGTTGGTGTATATGGTCTGACCAGTTTTCATCCATTCATGTCCGATCTGGGGTGTTCGTGAATGGTGAGACTAGTACTTGGGGCTAGAGTGTGATGGTGGTGTATTGTCAGGGCTGAGGACGGTACTGCTGGTTCCTTAAACCCTGTCTGGTGCGGTATAAAGGTCTGGATAGGGTGGTATAGAAGGGAGTAATCTGACAGCTGTGCTGGAGTATTTACTAGTAAAATGTCAGGGCACACTTGTCTGGGACCATGGACAGATAACCCGTAGTCATACAGCACAAGCTATACCAGCCAAGGAAATAAGAGTAGAGAGGAGGTAAGGGTGTGGCGAGTTGGTGTATAGAGATAGCAATTCAATGATACTCTGCTACTGGCAGTGCGTCACCCACAGTTTGATATATTGTAATATATCTAGGTTCAGGGCTGGATCGTGGGCATTCTGCATTGGTGAGATCTGGGTGAAGATGGTATACGCGAATTGCGGGTCCATGGCGCGATAGAGCCGTAGGGATCAGCCTGCCAGCTCTGCGGATAAGGGTAGGTGTCAAAAAGAGGCAGCGAAGTATGGGGGGGGGGTAAAAGATATAGTGTCTCCCGGGTAAGGACCATGGGAGGGAGACAAAAAAGATAGGTCGTGCCCGGGATCGAACCGGGATTACAGGAATCAGAATCCTGGGTGCTAACCATTACACTACACAACCGCTGGTTGTTGAGAAGTTGATACTTAAAATGATATATAAAAAAAAATACATAATCAATATATTGACAGTCCACTATCAATGCCAGCTCAAGTATCATAAGGAATATAATCAAAAGTTGGTATGGCTGGGTTGTGGGCCATGTATACATAATCAAGTCTACTTTAGACATTAGACTTGCAAACGTTGCAGGCGTATGTTAATCTTTTCCAGCGTATTTCTGTTGGTTGGTCCCATCCAGCCTGAAATATATACATGAATCAGTCAACTCACCAGCACTGGCTCAAGACCCAGACAAGATGTATACACTCGACCCCATATTATGTTTATTGCCACGATCCCTCCACGATATCACCTACCCGGATGAAACCTGGAATACAATGACATGCAGCCAGGGAAACACTAGTAGACCAAGCAGCAGGTCGCACCTGTGGGTACTAACCTCCTACATCGTCAAGAAGAGGACAGATTCCAAGCGACGAATACATGCTATAGCCTCCACAATAATACGAAGCATAGGACTGGAAACCTTCCCTAGGTTACCCGAGCGATGAACCATAAAACAACCAAGCTACAGTTAGCAACTTGACGGATGTTGACACCTAGATGTCGTTGTTTGATGCATCTCCAAACCCCAGGGCCGGCGGTCCAGGCTGTACACAGAGAAGGGATCTCCGCACCAGAGTCTTATTTGACATGACCAGAGTCCATGTTCTGGCTATCGGAAGTAAATACCGGGATGCCCCATCATAGCATACCCAAGAAAGGTCGCCAAGGCTGGTAAGTGCATGAAATGTGAGGAATCATATAATGGACGGGGGCGCACTGACTCCGCGTGGCGTCCCATCGGACAAGACGTTTACTCCGTAGATCCCCTGACTGACCACAGGTAGAAAGGAGGCGTTGGTTGACAGAGTAGGCAAGCTCTAGATGGTGGGGGCATTTAACTAGAAGGGCGGGATGGCTCAGCAAAGTGACTGTTTGAGAGCTATCAAGTGGTGGTGTTCACCTGTACACGGTAGCACTATATAGTTTGCAGATCTACCAAACTAGGGCTGGTCATGTCTTTATTACGACCCCTAGTCGTGACCAGTAAATAAAACTGGTAGCCCCTATGTGGCAGCTGAAAGGCCCCAGCCAACTATGTAGACCGCAAGGTTTCAATCTCGCCACTTTAGCATGATACCACTCATACAAAATGTGCTGGGGGTATACCTGTAAATTGACTGGATAAACAGCTGATTATCCGGACTCGTCTCATCCATCGCATCCCAACGTAATGTACGGAGTACCTAGAAGTTATATGGCGAGACCATGCTCTTGACAATAGTACTTCAGGTACTAATGTGTTCCTAGTAGCCAGTACCAGCAGTTCAATCAGTCTAAACGCAACTCTGGTCCCCAAGAAAAATAAATACCACCCAAATAGAAGAAAGACTTTAGTTATTAATACAAGCCCAATCATCAATTATTCTATAGACTATAACTATGAATTTAGTGATCCTAAGGAACAAGGCAATAACTTAAAGCTAATTTAACCTTTACCGAGCCAACAGTAATTGTCACATATCAACAGCACAGTAAGAAATTTGAATCAAACAACCATTCACATAAACACTTCTTAAGCTGTCCAAATTATGGGAGCAATATACCTTCTGCCACACCTACTGCCAGTACATTCTACGCAGAGGTGATCAAATCATGCGCCATGTTATCGGGGTAAGTTATAGGAAGCTATCTACCCCTAAACGTATGATTCCATGCCATCGAGGCTAGCAAGGCAAAAACCCTGCTGTCGTAGAATAGCGGCTACAGCATAGTGTGCACCAAGTATCTACTAAAACCAACGTGTCTTCTACATGAACTACGTATTCAACATGCAGTTTTGGCTCTAGAGGTCAGAATCGGTGCCGCTGCACACAACAAGGGTTGTGTAGTGTAATGGTTAGCACCCAGGATTCTGATTCCTGTAATCCCGGTTCGATCCCGGGCACGACCTCGCGTTTCTTTTTGCTTTTTTCCTTACCACTGGAGATAAGAGTCTAGACTCATAGTACTAACATCTCCCCAGCTGCCACAACAAGTGGTTGTGTAGTGTAATGGTTAGCACCCAGGATTCTGATTCCTGTAATCCCGGTTCGATCCCGGGCACGACCTCACCATTTCTCTTTTTGCTATCTATTGACACGGCGTAGTGCCAGTATAGGTGTTCACGTATGACCAGACCAAGGCCTCTTGTCAGGGCCACTATAGTTTTCGCTTTTTCTTCGCGGAGTGACCAATCCCACCACACACTCATCCCACCGCCTCAGTAGTGGAAAAAAACGAACGTCAGCGTCTAGCTGAGTACTCTCCATGACAGGGAGTAAAGCGCTAACGGAGTATTTATCGCAACTAGAGACGCAAGCTCAGCGCGACTCTAAACTCGGCAAGTCATGACCACCTGGCTCCGTGTTGACCCATGTGCAAGCCTTAAAAGTGGGCCTATACCAAGACAGGCAGGTCGTTGATGCACCACAATTCATCACCTTATTCAAGTAGATGACAAGGCAGAAGTGGTACCCAATTAGCGTGTCAGGGACATGGCGCTAGACAGGGGAATATCCCCCCCCCCCCCCCCTCCTCCTCGGGCGTGGAGGGAAGAGCAGACTTTGCTCTCATCTCCCCAGAGAGTCGATAATTGGGATATTAACTCGTCCCGATATCCCTGCCCTGTCACACACATGAGGTCTGCAGCCCCATAACGGACATCACCACAGTGTGATTATTTAGCCAATTATAGCTTCGCTCCGATGAGGTTGATCCCGATGCAATTTCACCCCGCTCCAAGCTGTCACGGCCGAGACTTTTCCCCCTCGCCGGCATTGTTGTCGCTCTATCAGAGATTGTAATCGGGTAATCGGGTCCGAGACGGGAGTGCTACAGGGGGTTGCCAAGGGAAACAGAAAACCGCCTGAAATTGAGGCACACCTCGTGTGGGTCATTGCATGCGTCTATCTATGTATATCTATTTTATGTCGGGCGATCGAGTATCTCTGTCCCGCCCAGGACTAATTCCAACGGTCCATCGACACCAAACGGGGAAAAGATATTGTGAGGAGCACGCGGCAGAGACGATAAGGGGGAGGCATAATTGTTGCACAAGCAACACGGGCCTTCCACCGGCATGGTGGATGATGGTGCCGTGTCATCCTGACATGCTTGCCCAATTGCTTTCTGGCTCGGGGTTACAGGGCAGATTTTTGAGGCGAATGTGGTGCAGGAATTAGCCCAGTCATTGCTCCCAATTGGAGTTAGTCGAATGGTACAAAAAACTCCGTGGGCATGTTCTGTACCTCATACCACCATGGCGTCGGAGTGGGGAATCTGATTTGGTGGGTTCCCTGCGCTAACTGGGGGGGCTTGTTGTCAGATCTGCAGTCCTTTAGCACCGGCCGGTCTTTTCTCGACTATGTGGACCTTAAGTTTTCAAAGACAAAAGGAAAGGAACAATAATTTAAAATAGGAACCAAAATGACACAAAGAAAAGAAAAGTAATCAACCGGAAAGGTTAGCTTCGGTACTGTTGCCGACAAGAGAAATACAGAAGATGATCGTCCGTTCAGATGATACACGCCCAGACGAAAAAAAGGGCTG